CCCTTAATTAAGGAACGTACCTTAAATCACATTAGGGATCCTACTATAAGTTTAAAGTATATTCCCTAATTAAGGGATATTGGAGTCTCTGGGAAACTACCACCCTTAAACCCTAAACCCTAAACCCTAAACCCCTAAACCCTAAACCCCTAAACCCTAAACCGTAAACCCAAACTAAGCCCGGAGCCACCTCTCCTGCCCTGGCGCTCTGTGGAGCTCCGTGGCCTCTTTCCGGCTCTGGTCGACCTTTACCCAGACCCCCAGAAGGATCTAAAAAAGGGTTTAGGGTTTAGGGTTTAGGGTTTAGACCCTCAAAAGGATCTAAAAAATAGATCCCCTAATTAGGGGCCCTAGCTACTAAAGGGTACTTTATAGGAACCCCCCTTAAGGGATCTATTTTGTAGATCCTTTTGGGGGTCTGGGTACAACTCCAAACCACGGCACCCGGTGCATCGAAAGTACGCTAGGCTCATGTAGGGGCCCAAATAATTACCGACACTATTTTGGAGGTTCCTGACTAGAACTATAGTATAATGGGCCCCGAAACCCTATTCTAATTGTTAGGGCCTCTATATCAGACCTCGGCCCTAAAAAAAGCCGGGAGCTACAAAAAACTTAGGAATCTTACGGCCATCACAGCCGGGAGCGGAGTCTATGACTTGTGCCTTATCACACGGTCAGCGACCTTGAAGCTTTCATGTTTAGGGTTAAGGCTTTAATGTTTAGGGTTAAGGGCTTACGTAGGTTTTATAAGGTTTAGGGTTTAGGTTTTACGAGGTTTAGGGTTTCGGGCTTGGGTTTTATTAGGCTGAGGGCTTAGAGTTTAGGGTTTAGGGTTTAGGGTGTAGGGCACGAACGCGAATCAAGAAGCTGGCTGCACACGTTGGCTACTGTGGCACCATCTGAATGATGAATGGTGAACGGCCATGCCTTCAGCGGCCTAAACCCTAAACCCTAAACCCTAAACCCTAAACCCTAAACCCTAAACCTTAAACCCTTTCACTACGATAGCAGCATGTTCCAAAAGCATCCGGCTGAGACCCCGGCCGACGGCGGAATACGAACTTCTGGACCAGAACGACCTAAGACGAGACCGGAAGAGCAAGAGACTTAAAGGCAACCGCACAGCGTGCTTAAGGCTCTCAAAAGAAGACAAAATACCCTCACCCGAAACCCTAAACCCAAGCAGTCGGCCAGCCTCTGCTATCAAAACGGAGCGCCGTCGCGCACATGCACCCCTGGTGGGACCCTCGACTCTTAAAGGGCTGTGAGGGGTGATGAACGAAAGAGACCGGTCCTGTTTCTGAAGTCAAAAGATGAGCTTTTCAAAATCTATAGAAATACATAGGTCCGGAAAGGAGGACAAAAGCATCAAGTTAAACAACAGAAAAACACGTTGTTCATTGCTTAATTTGGGCTTTTGGGACTGGACCCTTCACAACCCTTACACGGCAAAACACGCTTGCAGCCAGTTCCTGTCTGGAAAAAGATGGACGCTTTGCAGTTTCCTTTCAAAAAGAACAACTTCCAGAGGTTTGGAACTGCCTTGCAGGCGGCAGGCATGAATCTTGAAGGTGACCACCGGCCCAGGAAGCGAAAAATCCCGAGCCGGGCAGTTCTCACCGGTCTTTCATCTCCAGAATCCTGCAAGCAGATCAAGGCTTGAAGAAAAAACTCAAGCATCCGAACGCCAGGTGGCCCCACACGCCACGCTTTCAGGGGCACACACTTTTCTCTCTCTCTCTCTCTTTCTCTCTCGCTCTTTTTTTCTCTCTCTCTCTCTCTCTCTCTCTCTTGTCTGTGCGTCGCATTGGTCACTTCAGCTTCCTCAAGAATCTCTAGGTTGCAGCCTATGTCTCCTGGCTCTTCATGAATCTGGCAACATAATTAAGGCAGTGCTTGAGTGGCGGCAACCTACTGCCAATTTTACCACGTTAAAGAATCCACATCCTCTTATGTTTCCAAATTAGAACCCTAAACCCTAAACCCTAAACCCTAAACCCCTAAACCCTAAACCCTAAACCCTAAACCCTAAACCCTAAACCCTAAACACTGAAAGACTACTGCAAAAGTGCATCGCCACTGGATCCTGAACCTTCCCAGAGAACCCAAGACCCCTTAACTAAGGAATATACCCTTAAATCACCCCTTAAATAAGGAATATACCTTAAATTATAGGGTCCTAATTAAGCCTTTTCAATTTAGGAATATACCTTAAATCACCCCTTAAGTAAGGAATATACCTTAAATTATAGGGTTCTTAATATTATGATTTAAGGTATACTCCTTGATTAAGGGGTACTGGGTTCTCTGGGTTCAGGCAAGTGAGCCAAGGCCGTGCGCGTACCAAAAAACCCGACCGCAGCCTGTAGGCTGTAGGGCAGCCAATTGCAGAGAGACTTCCGCTTTGCCGCTGGGCTCGTCCGGATACACCAGGACGGGCGGACGCATGAGTCCTTCGGGCGGGTTCTGAGCTGTCTGAGGATTCGCTGCTCGGAACATGATAATTAAGGAATATACCCCAAACCTTACTAGAGTTCCTACTATCATTTAAGGTTTATTCCTTAATTAAGGGGTATTAGGAGTCTCTGGGTAGTCCGTGTATGGACTGGCTCTGGGGATGCTTGCGGACTTTGGGATGCCTGAGACTCATGCGTGCGCACTGGGGTCACCTGCGTCTTCAACCTCGATCACTTGCGTCTAGTATTAGTACTAGTAGTAGTACTAGTACTAGTACTAGTACTAGTACTAGTAGTAGTAGTAGTAGTAGTAGTAGTAGTAGTAGTACGATTTTCCGCTCCAGCTCACCAACAGCAAAATCCTCAAGACGCTCGTCGCTTTTGAACATGACTCGGCAGGAACATTGGTTAGCGGATTCCTGGGCGTACGTCTACACAGAGAGCCAATGCTTCAGAAAATCTTGGAAGCTTGTACAGACACAAACCGTTGTGACAAAGCAGGTGCACATCAAGCTGGTAGTCTGTGAAGTGATGGCTTTTCCATCTCGTCCGCGCAAGAAAACAGGCCCAAAGCTCCGAGCCGCGCTTCGACAAGAACTGAAGCGCAGTCTTTCAATTCGGATCTCCCCCCCCAACCACGCGTGAATCATACCCTCCTAATGACGGGATCAACATCACTACTGCTGCCTTGAAGAGAGCATCACCGTCGTCCTCATCATCACCTCAACCATCACTGTCGCCATAGTCGCAATCGACATGTAGCACCACCATCATAATATCAATCAGCCAGTAACCAGTGCGGACGACAACAACAAGCAAACAGAGAAGGATAAACCGGGCACCACAACAGTGCGACAAGCAGCACCAGTAACAACAACAACAACAACAACAACAACCACAACAGGAACGTCGCCATCATCTTCATCACCATCGTGACTATGACCTTTAACATCACCACCATCATGAACAGCATACTCATGTCGACCACCGCTGTAAGGGACGAAACCCTACTCCCAAATCACGAGAAAGCCGAACTACCTAAGCTCCAAAGGCCATACAAAACCTGAGCCGCAACCCTCTCAGAAAGTCAGTAAGTCTTCACTAAGTTACTAGGCCCCACACCCCCAGCCCCAAACCCGTAATGTAGCGGCCTGAGTAACAAGAAGCTATGTTCGAGTGTCAAGGTATGAAGGAACCCTAAGTAACAACGGTTCATTTATTCAACAGTTCACTTATTCAGGCCGTTGCATTAAACAGACGAGGCGCGGGGGCGGCTTTGGCAAGGAAGAGGCGCGTCCCGCCAAATTTGGTGTTGCAGAGGTTTAGGGTTTAGGGTTTAGGGCTTAGGGATTAAAACTTCAACTGTCAAGACTTAACAGGACGCTTCCAGATTCCCTTTGCAGAAGGTCCGCGAGTTGCGAAGTGCTGCTTTGTGCCGCTCGTGCAGACTCAATGACTGTACTGTACTCTGTGTCAGCTCGATGTCGGAAGGGGGACGAGCATGTGCAAAATGTAGCTGTCCCATTCATTGGTGCCGCATGGAGTTGCTATTCAAGTATGTTTCACATGCATGACTCAAGAACGAAAGCTAGCGCTGCTGGCTTAAAACCTGCGCGTCAGTTGTGCGATCGGCAGCAAGCATGTGGCCCAGGAAACTGTCTCATGCTTAGTCGGGAATGAGGGGAAGGGGTTTTAGGGACTACTATAAGGGACCTTAAGGGACTATCATGAGATCCATTCCCCCATTCCCTACCAGACAGGATAAAGATCGTGGAACGGAGAAGCAACCTGAAAGGAAAAAAACAAATAGAGGCCTCGATTTTCCGCCGCAGAATTTCGCAGTCCAGCACCCTGCAAAGGAAAGAAGCGGCCTGAGATCTGCTGAGTGCTCTGCACATCAGCCGTCCTTCCCTGATTCTTAGGGTTTAGGGTTTAGGGAAGAGTTTGTCCCTGCTTGCTGGTGGCCAGTAGAGGCAGAACACGTGCGGCTGAAAAAAAAAAGAAGCATGCTTTAAGCATGATTCTCGATGCGTTGCATCACCTTCGCGACCTGCCGCTGTAAGCTCTCCAGCTCCGAGTGGGCAATAGCCATATCCTAGTTCATGGTTGGGGTACTATTAAACATTCACATTTATATTCCTTATTGGGTTTAAGTACCGTTAAAAATGTAAAATGTTACCCAACTATGACAAAGTATCGATCTTGTTGAGGTCCCCCCGAAATCGCATCAGACCAGAAACGATCTCTGACATGGAGACACATCCGTCCTTCTCGGTCACGAAGGCGGCGAAAATGCCCTCACGGGGCTCTACATTGATCCTAAACCCTAAACCCTAAACCCAAGCCTCACGGGGCTCTACGTTGATATCCATGTCGCAGAGCAACTGCTGGACTTCGGTCTTCCGAATCAGGCGTAGGAACTCTTCCTGGGAGGTTCCGAAAATTAGGGGGTACCTTATTTTGGGGTCCTTATAGTGAGGATCCTACTATTTAGGGTGCTATATGAGGGTCCCTTGTTCTCGGAAACACACATCTCGGTCACGAAGAGCTCCTCTGCAAGGGCCTTCTTGGTGGATGGCAGACATGGTCAGGCCTAATGAACTAATCCGACCCATGAAAGGGCTCATGACTTCGTGCCCTTGATTGGTCCTCCTCATCCTCCCGTTGGTCACCTCCTGCGTCGCCAACTCGACGAAGCTTGCTAGCTGTTGCGTCATCCACCCAGACTGCAGGGCACTTTTGTCACCAAGCCTAGTCCAGAGGCTGGATCTACAGCCTGGTGACGCCACGGCTTGGAAACCCTAGGCTCAGTGAGCAGAGTCTACCTGTGCAGCGGCAAGCCCGCAAGCAGCAACCAGGCGCTTTCAACCCGCGCGGGAAGTGCTCGGAGAAGGCCGCGTGGCGCTTGGTCTCTTTTTGTCTTTGCCCTGGCAGGGACTTTCGGTGAGCCCTTCTTGCCCTTCAAGGGGATTTTTGCCTTTGGGATTTACTCTTGCCCTGTGAGCAGCGGAGCTTCTTTTGCTTTTGCCTTTGGTGCTGCCTTCTACCCTTGGCTGCCTTCTCCTTTTTTTGGCCTGGCTGCACCACAGCCCTTTCCTCCTTCCTGTCAGACTCCGGGGCTGGTGGTCTTGGTGTGAAAAGTTGGATCCCTGAGATGCTTGTTGAGTGATG